TTCCAACTTGTTAACATACTTCTATGTTTCTTCATTCCTTTCAGCTCTTAGTTATTTTTCTTCAGTTAAAGGCATTTAATATGTTTTTAAGTTTGAATAGTTCTTAATATTTCCACTACTTCTTGGCTTTCTGTTCCTAGAGCTTCACCCAAAAACACAGATCTCAGCTAGTTGATCCTCAGAATTTTCAAATATGTACACTTTCTCCTATTCTTAATTCTCTACTTTATACAGTCCATCTAATTATATTTTTAACACATTTCTTGATAAAATGTGGATCAAGGGCTTTTCCTTTTATGCTAGATCAACCATGGAAATGAGATCCATCCTCACAGCTGCTTTGAAGATCATTAATTCATTTAAAACTTTTTCCAGTCTTTTTTAAACCAAATTTTGGTTTACACATGAGGATTTCTACAAGAAAAAGTTTCCACAATCTCTTTCTTACTCCCTGCAGCATAATCCTATTCTCTTTGTTTGTTCACTGAATGCTACAGATGCCAGAGGCATGGGAACTTCCATCTAAGTGATAGTAACTATTAAAACTGAAACTCAAGCATTTGAACTTGTAGGCAAAATCTTTAACTGAGAAAGAAGAAAACAGAGGGAATGGACTTCAACTTAAGAAAAGCTGAAGGGGAAACAGCTCTGCTAGAGAAAAGGATATTAGTCCTTTAACAAAAGGGGTCAGCTTTCCTGAAATTGCCAGGGTTTGGTAATTTCCACTGGGTCTTGAGTATGGGTTTGTTTGTTTTTGAAGAAATCTCTTCTTCCTGTTTTAAAGGGTCTCTTCCAGTATAAGATACGATGGATCAACAGCTATTCTCCTGGGACACAAGATGGTGTACCTCAATCCCCATCCCAGACTGTCGCGATAGACTTGGTCCTTGAAATAGAAGTAAAGGAGTGATGGAAAGGCACATTCTATACATGGCTGTTGGCAAGGGAGGCTAGGGAGACCTATCTTTACTTTAGATGGATCAGAGATGTGGATTAAGGCCCAAGAAAACCCCCTTATCTCTCATCCAGATAAGGACCCCTGTCTGTCTCACTATGGCATAAAGCCTGCCAAGACGCCACTATCAGTGAAATTGGCTACTGCTAGTATCCTTGTCCCAGTTACTTGGGAGACTTTATTGGGAAGATCACTTGAGCCCAGGAGTTTGAAACCAGCCTGAGCAGTATAGCAAGACTCCATTTCAAAAAAAAAGAATAAGCTTGTGATACTGTAATATAATAAGAAACATATATTTTGTCCTGGGTTCCTGGCACAGAGCCTGAGGAGCACCTAAGTGACAGGTAAAAGGAGCATCTTTGGTTATTCACAAGCCCCTTCCAACCATCCTTGAGCTTATGCTAGTAAGATATCTCTGGGAAGATGGAGACTGACTACCAGAAGAGCCAACCTTGTCATCATTGAGTCAAATTTTCTGGCTCATCTCCTAAACTCCAGGGAAGAAACTGAGTTCCATCACCAAAGTTCAACAGTTTAATCACTCACAATGACACAATGAAGTCTCCATAGAAACTCTAAATAATGAGGTTTTCTGGGCTGGCAAATACAAAAGCTGCCAGCTGAGTTCTGCACCTGGAATGGAGGCATCTTGCCTTCCACTGTACCTTATCCTAAGTATCTGTTCCATGTGGCTTACCCTGTGTATCCTTTACCATAAGCCAATAATAGTAAGTAAAGTGTTTCTCTAAATCTTATGGTCCATTCTGGACAATTATTGAAACTTAAAGTGAAGGGGTGCTGGGGAAGCCCCAATTTACAAACAAGTTATAGGTCAAAGTTATAGGTGACAAACTGGAATATTTATTGGTGATTCATGTCAGGGGCAGTCTGGGGCACTGAGCCCTTAACTTATAGGAGTCTGTGCCAACTCCAGATAGTGTCAGAATTAATTAAATTGTAGAACACCCAATTGATGTTCAGAAAATTGAAGAAAACTAAGGTATAGAAAAACCAATACATTTGGTGCAAAAAGTGTTATATAAAGAAAATACTTCCTTTCTTTTTCTAATGCCTGTATCTTTCTGTCATCTTCATAATTCTGTCTCATACTACAGTTGTTTACATACTTGCTTCTTTCAGTAGACTGTTATTTTATTCATGTTTGCATCATTAATCCTTGCTTAGTACCTGCAAACAGTAAGTGCTCCACAAATATTTACTCTGTGTCTAACTGAATAAATAAATATGTACCTCACACATACCCAGACAAGAAATGAGAGACTAAAAGCATGCACAAGGGCTAAGGGTGGAGCTCAGTGGTAGTGTCCACTGAGCATGTTCAAAGTCCTGGGCTCACTTACCAGTACCAAGAAAAAAAGCACACAGTTTTTCAACAATGGCGAATGAACAGATATAAACATCTATGTATCCTATAATAAATACTGTATTGTCTCCAAGGTGAAAATCTGAGAATTAGACAGTATGATTCAAGACCTTATAGCAGGACTAAATATGAATAAAAATTAATAGCACAAACAAGGTTTCAGCAAGTGGGAGAAAATGTCTATGACAAATTGCACGACTGATGACCCAGAACCAACTGAAAGACAAAAGAAAGTTCTTTTGGTTTAGAAATGGAGTATATAAAAATACAAAAGTGGGAATTAGTAAACATACCCAGACTATGGCAAATAGGTGAGTTGTGTATAAATACTAGACATATTTAATGTACAAGTGGGTTTATAGCAATTCCAACAAAAAGAAATGATTTTTTAAAGAAAGATTATAAGGGAATTTAAAAAGGAAATGGAACTAGTTAAGGATATAAAAAAATAATAATAACAACCATCAACAGGGAGGAATACTCATTTCCTCATATCACAAATACTTCCTGAGTGACAACTATGTGCAAGACATTGTTCTATGGCACCAGATAACAAGGGGATAAAATCCTCACAGGTAAAGAAAGAGAACAATGTGAATAAGTTACATAAATGATGAAAGGTGCTAATGTAGAAAACAAAAGGAGGAAAAAGGATAGGGGAGTATAATGGCAGAACAAGAGAGATCAGTTAGAGAAGGGAGCCCAGGAGGGCCTCCAGGGCTGGCATGGGAACTAACAACGACCAATAATATGTATGTAATCTCTTAGGTTAAAGCAAATTTTTAAAACTGTATTAATATAACCATAAAAACACAAATAAATGTGAGCATGCGTGTATTTATACTGTTTGCTTTATATGAAATGTTCTTTATCTTATCTAAATAATTCTTAATCTTTTGAGGATTAACTTAATCACCCCTTTCTTGGAGAAACCATGCTTTATTTCCCTAAGTCAAGTGAGCCTATTATATGGTCTCATGTCATGTACCTGTCCTTTCTGGAACCCAAATGGTTGTAATTCTGCATTTATTTGAATAATTATTTTTATTAATATATGTTCACTTGTACTACATTATAAATTCTACTAGAGCAGGAATAAGGTTAGTTTTGCTAACCATAATATTATTGTTCTTACATTGTATCTAATACTTAGTAAATAATAAATATATTCCAACTGAATCAGTAAAGTAATATGTTTGGAAGTATGGAAAAATTACTTATAAAGAATAGAAAAAGCTGGGTGTGGGGCACATGCCTATCATCCCAGCAATCAGGAGGCTGAAGGAGGAATGGTGTGGTTCAAGGCCAGTCTGCACAGTGAGACCTTGTCTCAAAACAACAACAAAAAAAAAAAAAAAAAGGAGAAAGAGAGAGGCGGCTAACAAGAGTTTTAAGTCCTTTATGTTTTACTCTATGTAGTTCTACACTTCTTGAAATTTTTTTGGTGACATTTTCATACATGCAAACTTATGTACTGATCTGTTCCCTCTCTCTTTCCAATCTCAGTAATTATTACTCTATTTTAAACTGTTACTCTGGTAATTAAAAATAAACAAATAGGTAAAGATACATTAAAAAGAAAAAGTGGCCCCTGGAAAGATAATCTTCAGGACAGAATTATTAATGGTCAGTTTTGTTTTATTTATTTATTTTGTATTTTTGAGACAGGGTCTCACTATGCACTTCAGGCTGGCCTCGAGCTCACTTTTAGTCCAGGTTAGTCTCAAACTTGCAAGAATCCTCCTGCCTCAGCCTCCCAAGTGTTGGGATTACAGGTGTGTGCCGCTACACCTGGCTCTAATGGTCAGCTTTAAAAACTGATACTTAAATGTAAAATAATTAAAAATTATATTATTTTACCCCCTGCCCAAAAGCAAAGGTATGGCACACTGAATAAGAAAGCAGCCTAGGCCCTTCATTCTGGTCATATACTTATGGTCATATATTTAGCTTCATACACATTTCAGTATGTTTATTTTTTTCGAAAATGTCATACCATTTTATAATCGAACCATTAAACATGCTGTTCTCTCTGCTTGACATGCTTTTCCACCTAGCAAACTGATACCACAAGCTGGGGAGGAGAGGTGGGACACACCTGCAATCTCAACACTCTAGCAGGCTAAATTTGATCCTACCCTGGGCAATGAGACCTTACCTCAAAATAAAAAATAAAAAGCCCTGGGTTCAATTCCCAAAACACACACACACACACACACACACACACACACACACACACACGTAATATACTTCAAGGTAAAGACTCCTCTCAGTGGGGATTCTTTTATCACTGATTCAGCAAAAAAATAAATTTTGGGCCTATCAGTATGCCATGAACTGTTACACTAAGGAATTCATACTTATTTATATTCCTCCAGTACCTTGTCCATATTGCTATTATCACAATAATTACATTATAGCATGGTTATCTTCACGTAAAAAGACAGAATAGTCACTCTTTCCAGCTGGAATAAGAAATCTCTGAAGTCGTGGCCTGTTCTATTATTCTTTACACATTCAGGATGCTGATGCTGTTCAAAACGAATCAGTTTTCCTCTAGCTTATGATCAGAGTTAAAGAATAACAAATAATGAAAAGAAACAAATAATGAGTATTAAAATGTTTAGTATCACTATCCAAAACAAGTAGCTATATACTTACTTCATGGGTCCATAGTTCAGGATTACAAATGCCAAGACTATCATCACACAGATCGCTCTTCGCTTCGGACTGGGAACTTTAAGCCTCTGGTTCTAAAGGAAATGACCATATGAAATACAATTAAACTACACATCAATCTCACAAAAACCAACATCTAAGATAAGAATTCTCTTCTTTAACAGTTACATAAATATCTTTTTTAAAAAAACAAAGCTCAAAAGTGAAGTAGTATTACTTTTCAAAAGACTAGAGTGGAGCCTTCCAAGTTTTCCTTTCTAGCAAAAACAAACAAAAAAATAATAGAGAAAAAAATATACTGCAGCTGGGCATGGTGGCTCATGCTTCTAATCCCTGTACTCAGGAGGCTGAGGCAGGACTGCCTTGGAGTTTAAGCCAGCCTTGAGCACAAAGTGAGTTCAAGAACAGCCTAAACTGCACAGCACAAACCTGTCTCAAAACAACAACAATAAAAAATACATACTGCAAACAATTTAACAGTTCTATATTTTTATGGATCTCTAAAGAATTTTGAGATACAAGGTATTGTTAAAAATATAGCAAGTGTTTAAAAATATGTATTATACTAAAAGACATGTTGCCATTAACCCCCCTGCTCACTTTCAACACATTTATCCCATCTTTTTTGCAACTTTCTGAAGCAATTCTGAAAGTTCTTTCATGAATGTTTTTTGTTGCACTGTTGGAACTACCTCCATGTCCTGTTTTAATTAAAAATGTTTATCTTTTATAGTCACTTGACTATATTTACTTCCTATTCTCTTTTACTTTGTTCTTTTTTTGTACTTTAGATCTCTCATATAAGAGAAACTACAATATTTAAGTGTGTGTGTATCTGAATTATTTCACTGTCTTTGAAGTCATTGTTTTCAGCACCCCACTGGAGTACTCCCCTATGCTCTTAAGAGCAAGACCAAGCCGGGCATGGTGACTCACATCTATAATTCCAGCACTCAGGAGGCTGAGGCAGGAGGATCGTTGTGAGTTTGAGACCAGCCTAGGAAAAAAAAGTGAGCTCAAGGCCTGCCCGAACTGCATAGAGAGACCCTGTCTCAAAAAGACCAAAAAAAAGAGCAAGACCAAACAGTCCAAGATACCCTGCTTAACTGGCATATTATTTGGTTCAGTTCTACACTGCACTAGAGGTACTGAAAGCAGAAAAGTTCATGAACAGAATCGAGATTAATCCTCTGAGGATTAGTATTGGCAATAGAATGCAAAAAATGTACAGTGAACAGATGGACAGAGAAAAAAAATACATTTTTCTTTTTCATTATCCTCTTTCACAAAAGGAAAGAACTGAATATCATTCAAGTGCCTTACTGTGATTCAGCAAGAAGAGAGGGTGCTACAACAGAGTTAGGAGAAACTGGAGAAAAAATGTCTTTTCTATGGAGACTGGAAGATACAATTTAAAAGGTTCTTCCAAATTTTTTATTGCTACTACAAATGTTTTTGGACTTATTATACCCTCATTTTCCTAGCACTGTTGTTTGATGTAATTTAAGACGTACAAATTTATCACTTTATCAGAAAGAAAATCTCGAACCACCTCAGCTGGCTCTGTCACTACCACTCACCTCCGACACAACTTCATCTAGCTGACGCTTCAGTGATCCGTTCTCTTTCTTCAGCTGCTCATTCTCTGAAAGAGCAGCCTTTAACCTCGCCTCCAGCCCTAGCATATATTCTTTCTTCTTTTTGCGTGACTGACAAGCAGACTCTCGATTTTTTATCATACGCTGCTGTCTTCTTAGCACAGCAATCTACAAAAAGATGGAATAAACCAGAATATTCTGGCGTCAGAATCAGATCAAAAGAGATCAGAATATACTGACTTCCACAAACATTTTTAAACAAATAGGATATGGGCTGTATCAAAATAGGTTTTAAAATACATTGCTAAGTAAATTCATCAAAATCAACCTGTTAAATTATTTCTTGTGGGGTTTTCTAAACTTACTCATTGATCTTCTAGTTTTCCCCAAGAAAACTTCTCAGAATGTGCTTTAAAGAACATTTGTACAGAAAGCCTTGCCTTAGTATTTAGAGGAAACAGCTCTAGGGATCTCCGCAGATACTAAAATCTGCAGACTTCATAGGATTTGCATATAACTTATTCATATCTTCCCATTTACACTAACTCATCTCTAGATTACTTATACTAGCTAATATAATGTAAATACTATGTAAATATTTGTTATACTGAATTGTCTAGAGAATATCAAGGAAAAATGCCTACAAATGTACATTACAGATGCAAGTTTTTCACATATATTCTAAGCAGTTGCAAAACCCCCAGATACAAAAGATTAAATCAGCATCCCTGGCCATACATTATGCTTCAGAACTATATATCCAATTACTTTCATTATTGCTACTTGTAAAGTACTTATTACTTCAAATTTAGTATGTCTAAGTTGAATACATCTTCCTCCACTTAATTTTTCTTAATCTATACATATTCTATGAATACTAAATATCTCTCAGGATATAAAGGAATAAGTGATCATTATTATTTTTCTTTTAGTCCCTATATTTCTTCCCTTTTTCAATCCCTTATTCCCTCACTAAATATATGTGAGTATATACTAATGATCAAGTCTCCTTCAATGAAAATGTCTCAATCATTTCTTTTTCTCTATTTTCACTGTCACCCTCCTAATACAGATAATCATTAACTCACCCATGGACTACTGTAGTATACTCCTAACTGTTCGAATTGTGTTCCATTTCACCTTATCTACCATTCCCAATTTTTTACCTTAACATTCCACTGCAAAGACAAGGTGGTCATACAGTCAGCTACCTACTTTTAACTTTCAAAGTCTTCCTTCATGTGACCACACCCTAATTACCATACTTCCGCCCTAACTACAATTTTTCAAGTTTTATTATCTTACTTAACACTCCTCTCTAATCTCTATAGGTCCAGTTTATTTCTCTTTATAAAGTTTATCCCCACTTACATCTCCTCCACTGATCTCATACTAAAGGCCCCTCCAAACTCTAACTGTTCTTACCTGATTTTTATTTCTTTGATCATCTAATGCTCTTATACTTTAGAATTTGCACCAGAACATTCTTTATTTCACATATCAACATTTTTAATTTTTTTATTTTAAAGAGAATAAAACAGGAGGAGAGGGCAAAGATGGCAGATAAGAGCAGAATACAGAGGTTCCCTGAGACATACAACTCAGATGCCGAAATAAAACATTGTGGGGAGGCCGAGAGAGAAGGAGATGGATCCTCTCGACCCAGGAAGAAACTAAAGGAAAAAAAACCTGTCAAACATGCAGTCCTGGGGCTACTACTGGAACAGTTAAGATTCGGTGCTCTTGCTGCAGTGCCCCAACTTGTGCGGCTGCGACTCATCCAGCCTCCCGAATTCCCACTGCTTCGACTTCCGGGAACTGCAGTCGCACTGAAGGCAGAGGTCGGTGAGCCCCACAGAGAACGGAGCCAGCAAGGAACCTGCACTGATCTGCAGTGAGTGCTGGGAATAAGACCTTTCCACAGGAGAGGGGCACCAACAGGACGACATTTTGGAATCGGGCAGGACTGCCAGGAATGAGGAATAGCAGTGACTTCAGTCAGTTGTTCCTTTCCCAGACAAGATTGGTAGGGTATGCTTGGCCTGGGTCACACCCTTGGCTGAGATCCAATAAGCTGTCCCAAACCAATTCCCTACAAGCACACACTAAAGCAGTGAAGGCCTCAGCAGGTTGACTGAACCTAAGGTCAGCCGCCCGTTTGCACCTCAATAGCACACTGGAGTGGACAGAAATACCTAGCCAGCATGCTTCAGAAGAACCATAACCAATAAGGAAAGGGACTGGGACCTCCTATATACGCCTGTATGGAAGAAACCAAAAATATGACAAAAGGAAGAAACAAGAAAAAGTCCCCAGCCCCCAGCCCTAAGAACATTGATCCAAGAGGGGTAAATACAAAAGAAACTAAGGGCAGCAAACATGCAATAGCAGACACAGCCTCAGTGGGCATAAAGAGATATCTTCGGGACCTCATAGACGAGCTCAAAAGTGAAATATTTAATCAAGTAAAGCAAGATATAAGTAGATTAATAAAAGAAATGCTAAGCACTTGTCAAGAAGACACAAAAAAATGGAGGAACACAAAAAAAGGAGAGAAATGTTTGATGAAGAATATAAAGAAAATATAGAATACATGAAGCAGGTTCAAAGAAAGAAAATAAAAAAACTCCACTGAAAGCTGGCAAAACTGCTTGAAAGAAACTAAGGATAGATTATCAAAACTTGAAGACTGATTTGCAATGTGTGATCATGAAAGGAAAATTTGGGGGGGGGGGGGCAGGGATTTAGCTCAGTGGTGTAAGCTCCTGCCTGGCAAGCAGAACATTGTGAGTTCGATCCCTGGTAACAAGGAAACAAGCAGTAACAATACAAAGGCTAGAAGGCAACAAGAAGATCTATAACTTTAAGAGTGTGAATGAAGAAGCAGGGATACAAACAAAGGAACTACAAGGACTATTCACAGAAATAATTAAGGAAAACTTCCCAAGCATAGCAAAAGAAAATGATATTCAGATGTATGAGGCATCCAGAAATGCAGCCACCTACAACCAAAACAGAGACACACCCAGACAGGTAATAATCAAGATCTCAAAAATACAATATAAGAACAGAATATTAAAAGCCATCAGAGAAAAGAAACAGATCATCTATAAAGGAAAACCCATCAAAATCATGGCAACTTCTCGACACAGACCATCAAATCAAGAAGAGCATGGAGGGAAGTATTCCAAGCCCTGAAAGGAAATAACCTCCAGCCCAGATTGATGTACCCTGAAAACTTGTCTCTAGAAATTAATGAAGAAACAAGATGCTTCCAAGACAAAGAGGAACTGGGGAAATTTGCAACCATCAATCCAACCCTACATAGAATACTGAATAACATTCTAAAGAGAGACAAAAGTACCAGGATTTCAGGAACAGTGGCAGAGAGGCCTCAATGAATGTAGCAAAAAGTGGAATGAAGGAGAAAAGCAGACAACTAATGGCAGAAAAAGAGCACAACAGAAATGAGGCAGAGAAGGTTGGTTATAATCTCTAATATAGATGGCCTTGATACACTAAATTTAAAAAAAAGAACCACACATGGAGTAGATCAGAAGGTAGGGTCCATCGAGATGCTATTTATAGGAAATATAATTAACATGAAAAAGAGTACATGGATTGAAAATCAAATATGAGAAAACAATGCTCTATGTGACAGAGAACCAGAGAGTAACAGGGGCAACTCGATCAGTACTTGCAGATAGGTTGGAATGATAGGCTTTAATAGGTAAAGGAATACAACTTGAGATCAAGTACAGGAGGGAGAAGGTTCGGAACCACTTGGGTAAATAGCAGGTTGCCCCCACCCAATCTAAAAACTGAGGGAGGTGATTGCTGCTTCTCGCTGTTTGAAAAATACACAGTACATTCTACGGGAATGAAAGGGGAGGAATAGTCTTAAAAAAGGAGGCAGAGGATATTGTTAAGAGTGTACCAGGATTTAAAACCCACATTACTTACACTGCTCTGCTTAGATAGATTATATTCTGTCCCAGTTTGTCTACTTGCACTAGATCTGAGGTCACAGACAGCTATCCCCAAAATAACAGGATATAGTACAGTAATCATCCTAAATTTCCTATTAACTTAATCTGGAGCCCTGTATAACTTATACTGTTTTGCCATGACTGATCTTAGGTAAATCTAGTTTCTTTGCTTGCTGTTTGATATCGACAGATTTTATTCAAAACTATTATGATTGATAGTATCAATCTGAGAGTATAGGCAACTACACTGAAGACAAGATTCATTATGATATCCATTCTGTTTTGATTACTACCTGTTTTTGAAGTTTTATACTATCTACAAAGTAGTGTTTTTATTAATATTGTTATGTACTACTATATTCAATTATACTATGTCTGATGATACAGACAATTTCATTGAAGACAAGACACAACACAGTAACCATTGTAGAATACCTTGTACAGTGGTTTTATAAGAGTTGTTTCATGTGTTTATAGAAATATGTTTTGTTTTGTCTTGTTTTATTTCTCCCTCTAATATAGAAAGGATAAAAATACATGTTGAGACTCATGTAGGCGTAGAGCCTATAAACAGTTTATGAGAACTGATCAAAAACTTGATGCAATGAACAACTACTTTGAAGAAAAAGAGACACTCAGTACCCAGTGATGATCCCGTAGTATCATGATGTGAAATCCAGCAATACTATTATTCTTTGTTCAGACTGATTTTAGCCTCCTTTGGTTTGTTTAATCTTAACATAAATGAAAGTATGGATAACTGCATGTATGTGTAAGTATATAGGATTGATAACCATATTACTAAGTTTTTGTTGGATAGTTGAACAGAACTGTCTCGCTGTTTGAATCCCCATTTTGTTTTTTTGGTTTTTTTTTTTTTTTTATTGGTACCACCTGCTTGCAAGGCAGGCACTTAAGCCACTGAGGTAAATCCCCAGTCCCGGTGAATCCCCACTTTGTATGCTTCACTTTTGTAACTTGAACAACTATTTGTAAGAGAAAATATGGAATCAGCAACTAGTGATTTCTTACTGTTTATTTTTTCTTTGAAAGTATGTATTATTTCTACCCATTTTCTGTTTTGTTAATTCTTTAAATAAAATTTTAAAAAATAAATAAAGAGAATAAAATAAAACAGAACAGAATAAAGCCGATCAAAACAAAGCAATACAAGCAACA